ACACACACACACACACACACACACACACACACACACACACACACACACACACACACTTGAAAAATGACAGCTTCTTTGGTGAAAGAGTAAGTGTGCAGCTCTTTGTGGTCCTTTGGTAGTGTCAACAAAAAAAATTGTGTCCCCTTCCATCATTTAAGTTGCCCATCCCTGCACTAATTACTGCACTASCACTAATTATTTCTGTTCATTTCATAACTAAAATGTACAACACAGAATAAACAGAGGCACTGCTGAAATAAAAAAAAAGAAAACTCAAAACACACAGTTGAGCTGCATATTGGGATGATCTCATCTATTCTTAATAAAAAGAGCAAACTAATAAAAAAAGAACTCAATCCACCAGTAAGCCAAGTTGTGAAACTGAATTTGACTCCTAGAAGAGCTCAGATTAAAATTGCAGTGTTTGTTTGAGACAGAAGCACAGASAGCCTCAAAACATCCGTCTGTTCTGTTCTGATGTTCTTTACAAAGAAATGTGGAGGTTTTTATGATGTTTTGCACAAAAACTTATTATTAGCATTACACTATAGCTTATAAAGTGTTGCCTTTTGTTTGAAGAAAAACTTTTTAAAATTGTGTTTTTAAATTCAAACATGAATTTGTTTTCTCTTTGTTTTCTAAAAGGATAAATGTTTGAAAAAGTGCCAGGTAAATAAAGCAAAATAAATCTAAACAAATCACTGTTGGTATCAAATTATTCTTGATTGTGTCTCCACCTACTGGTCTGATTCGGTATGATGTTCACCTACCGGGTGTCTGAGGTCAACAATGAGAAGGATGACGTCTGACATCTCCAGAACTCTCCACAGTTGTCTCCAGGTCTGAAAYAAAAAGGGAAGAATGCAGAAAAAAATAGATAATGTAAAAACTGTGACGTTTCTGACGTTACAATTTCTGATTTTGTCAGTAAGAAAGTTTAAGAGATTTGTTTTAAAATAACGATGACCACAATAATAAAATAATTAGGAAACATAAACACAAGATGTGAAAACAATATAAGCTGTTTAATGTAGAAACATGATCCATGTTAAACTTTATGTGGCAACTAAGACTTACATGTTCTGACAACCTTAACCAAAAAACACCACCATCTCTCAAACATTCAAAAATGTACATTACATAATAGAATCACTTTTTTTTAACTAGAGTGCAACTTATAACTGCTGTTACTAAAATATATTTTATAGCTGTAATTAAATGATTATATTATACCTATAACATATTTATAATTTTTAGTTACATCAATGTTGACGTTTGTATCCACGTAAGGAGAGTGAGCGCACACAAATGAGTTGAGCATCAGCGCACCAGGCCCTTTCAAAAAATAAAACGTGTATTTGTATGTATCTGTGTATTTAGTTTCATCAGTTGTATCCTCTCTGGAATAGAGAAAGCCTGGGTGGGGTTGATGGCTTTTTCATCTCAAGCTCTGATGAGCTCTCAGACTCAGGCCTGGGAGTTTGAGGGTTCTTTGCAGTATCTCAGCTGTTCCTGGGAMTGAGCTTTTCTGGACGGAGATGTCAGACATTTCTCAAGGTTTCTGTTGGAGACACTTCTCCAGTGTGGGGGATCACTGCCCCGAGTGCTCCGATGACCACAGGCACTATAATTGCCTTCACCTGCCAGGCTCCTTCTTGCTCTTCCTCGAGCCCTTGATATTTCTCATCTTTCTTGTACACATATATATTAACACTTAAATATATATTGAAAATTACTCTTGCATTTTGTGGTTTAATTCACTGAATGTATTCGAGACAAATGCAAGTCTCCTGGCAAAAGATCACTTTACAGCTGAACTCATTAATGAGTAACATTAMCTCATGCTGTTATTTGATATTAAGAGACTCGACAAAATTCTTGAAATCTGATGTGGAAAAATAAAATAAAATTCAAGATACCAGACATTTCTGCCAGTGGAAAATAAGTTTTTGCAAATAAAAAAAAAACACTTTATAGATGGAAAATTATGTTTACTGTGCTGAAAGTAAAAAATGAACACAAATAGAGAATGCCAAAGTATTTCGAAGATGTGATACTTCACAGGTCAAAATAAAGACAACTGTGCTGTTTGTAAAAATGTAAGAAAATTGTTGAAAACACTTTTCCACAGGTTTAAAGTTGTTGGACACATGATGTGATAAAGAACTTTTGAACACACATCTGTGGATGTTTTACTTCACCTGGACTCAAAATCTCATTAACAACAAGTCAAAGAGAAGGAACTGGATCTCAACCAGAGAACACTCAGTAAACCCAACATCCCTAACTGTTTCATGAAACAACAGAGGGAAAAGGTACCAGGACCATAAGTTTGGACAGTGATGTCATTTATTTAATTGTGGAACACAACCCAACATGTGTGCCTTTATGTAAAAATATAATTAAAACAGTGACTGTGTGAGATGTCCAGAGGATAATAAAGAAAAACAAAAGCTGTCAAACTTGAGCCCTGACATTTTCATTAAAACACATCTTTATAAGAGAGACAAAAAGACCGAGTTACCTCCAGATTGTGCTCAAAGTGGCTGAGGGAGCCAGGTGGGTTTCTGGAGTGCAAGTCTTCCAGGTAGTCTCTGTAGGACTTCTCCTCTTTCCTCAGCAGGCTCTCTCGTGTCATATCATAATTCCAAGATGGCCGCCGTGGGAAACCAAGACCTGGAAGCGAATAATCAAAACACAGCATGTTGAGCAGAGATCCACAGCTCTAATAACTAYGTTTGAAGACCCAAATAACCTTTCTCTGGTGGGTAGATCTCGTTGATGTCGACTTCAAGTTCTTTATCTGAAACCTGCTGCAGCACAGTCTCTCTGGCCAGCTTCTTCCTCCTCTCTACCTCCTCTTTACTCTCTTTCTCAAACTGCAGTCGAAACCTAAATAAATAAATAAATAAACTAAAATCAAAAATCATCTGAAGTGAGCTCTTTGTGTATTTTTTTCAAACCCTATTGGTAATCTGAACTGGTTGCAACAGATTGTAAAAAACTTCATAGCAAATTTGTTGTTTTACAAAAATGTTTTATGTAAAAGGTCATTTTATGCTTTCTGGATGTTTTCTCTCGGTGTATATTATAACATTTAGTTTACGTACAGGTAACTGAAGTTCACTGCAGCAAAAAAACATGGCACCTCAGCTGTTGTGTTTGCATTTCAGGCTTTATCAACATCACCAAATGTGTAATGAGCTGGTGCCTGACACTTGGGTGATTTTTTTYCCTACCAATTAGCTGAACAAGCAGAGCATATTGCTTCTCAAAGAAGATAAAAGTGTTTCAAACTATAAGAAGAGGATTTGCAGCAGTGTTATTGATAATTGAAGTGTATAARCATCAAGTGGACTCTGAAACCTTGAATTCTTACATTTCTGAATGAAGAGGATAGTAGTGATGATGCCGACATCATACCTGTTTGGGTCATATCTGCTTTCTCTGCCGAAGGGCTGCTGGTTTGTCCTTTTAATTTCAGTGGTCTCACTATCCGAGGTGTCTGACTGACGATCTCCTCCTCGCTCAACACTAGCATTGCGGCTGCTTGGACCCGAACCTGTATCACCTGGCAGAAGTAGTCAGTATGACATTTATACAAACCAGAAAAAGATTCAGTCAGTTTAAGAGAAGCCTGAAGAAGAAACAGCATTAATAAAACTAAGTAGGTTGTAGATGTTTGTACAATTATATGATGTGAGAATTAAGAATGCAGCACAAAACTGTCTAATTTATCATCGTATTTAGTGATTATAAACAGTCCAAATAAATTCACATCTAGATATATCAAAAAGTTCATTTAGAACTGCTTTAAAATCATTTAGTGAGTAAGTTCAAAGTTATTTTGTTATTGATTTCAAACAGAGGGAGCACCGTATTGATTTAAAATGTCAATATTTCAGGAGCAAAGGCAGTGATATAGTGTCCTTTAAATAAGAATTTTCATGATTAAATGATAAAGACACCCTGAATTTCCCATCTTAGACTAAGCTACTTCACCCTGTGATGAATTTGTTAAACACAATACCCCTTTTGGACAACAAACAACAGCAGTAACACATTATGAGTGACATCATCTTTTATAACCATCCATTAGTAGAAAGATAAGTTCTGGAACAGTTTTTCCAATCATTTTAAGATGTGTTCACAGAAACTTYATTTGTTTGGGTGTTTATACTGAAAACATGGACAGGCCAAAGTAAAAAAGGCCTTATATCACTTGACTTGTTTAAGTAGGTTCAAATGGACTTAAAGGATATTAATTAATGGTAAATTGTCAATATTAGTCTGTTGTTGTAATCAGATTTGATTTAAGAGCATCTGAAACACATGTAAAAAGCCAAAATCTAAGGAACATACAAGTTTTTTTTTTTTTTTAGCTACCAGCCATCTAGTTTCCAAAACTAATATCAACCTGCCCTGCAGTTTCTGCTAGCTTAATGCAACTCTTCATGCCTGCTGTCAGCAAAGAGTTGGATTATTTAACGCTTGAGTAGCAAACAGCTTAACTTGCAATTTCTGACGGATAAATATATTTCATAATCCATTTCACATAAACACCAGCATTTATTTTTTTACACAAGTTCGACAGTGTGGCGTTTTGTCTAAAACACAGCAACAAAACGCTGAGAAAGCAGTTCGCTACTACATAGAATTTTAGCCACCGTGATAACGTTAGCATGCTAGTGAGTTAGTTACCTCTATGCTAACGTTAGCATGCTAACAGTGATGGAAGAATTTAGTTACCTCTCTTCTTCTCCCGTTTGACTTGTAGTTGCTTCTTCTTCTGTTTGTTGCTAAACGGCTTTTTCCGAGGCATACTGAAAAAAAAACTAATATAAAGATATCCAAATAGCTGTTTGATGTATTACTACCCAGATCCTCTCACGCGGCTCTCTAATTAGCGTTATTTACATGGATGAAGTTTCTGGACTCCTACACTTTTTTTTAATGACGCCATGTCCACTGCAGACTGCGGAGATTCGTGGACGAAACCAAATAGACACGCTATCTCACTAACACCATTAGTTTTCGTGGCGATTTCAGTAGAATTACTTAAATGAGACCTTTAAAACAGTGATATTCTACGCATAATTATTTAATTGGAGCATCTTTTGGCCAAAAAAAATGGTACACCCCTCCCCCTTCATGAACTATAATGGTACAGTCCACCTTTGTAAACACCTCACAAATGTGCACATTCCAGCAGACAGTCAGACCCAGCCGTGGCACCATGCATTATTAACAAGATCTGTATAAAACGCACAGCACAGTAACTGTGGTCTTTTGGTTATAATAAATATAGGTCTAAAAAAACCAGAAATAGGCACAGAAATCCAGAATGTATCAGGCAATAACATGGGCAGAAATATAGAAAACCCCACCAAACAGCTACAGAAACACAAGGAAATTTTACCACTAAAACAAAAATATATCTATATATATTTTAGAAGCTTTATTGTATTATAAGCATTAAGAACTGCACAAACCTTAGATGTGTCAATATTTTTGTAAATAACTCAAATATGTGGTAGTATAATAAGAGGACATTTTGATAAGATCATTTTTTAGACATACAGAAAAAGCAGTACACTTCATTACATATGATGTGGCTCACACCGCTTGAAGGGTCACATAATGGGCCACTAACAAGTCTAAATTCTTTCTGTGAATTACCACATCTTTTACACATACTTTATAAACTGGTAGTATATATCATATACTTGAATGCTATTTTTTTTATCTTTCACAAAAAAGAAAAACATTATATCCCTTTTAAGGTTAAAATATCAAAAGCATGTTAAGTTAAACCACAGTGGAAGTAATAACACTGATGACAAAAGTGGAAGTCTGTATGAAAGTATAAAAAATTACTTTTTACAGGTAACTGCCAATTTTAATCAACAGAGAAACACCAGAGATTGCTATAGTTCAAATTGCATTTGTACGGAAGAGAGGTGGTAACAATAAAAAAAGAACTGTCTTTCAGACGCTTCCTATCATAAAACCATCACTGTGATGGACTGAAACGTACATTATTGTAGCCTTTACATGCAGTCTCTACTCAACAACTAAGCAACAACAAAAAAAAAAGTTAACAAAAAACAGATCAAACATGGTAGGAAAAAAATAAAAAACATTTCTTCAGTATACTGAGCAGCATTTGTCCTGCCTGCCTCAAACCATCACTCAGGCACAGTCACGTGATCCAACGTCTCTCTATGTTYGTAGTATTGCTTTAATTCTTGACTCTCCATCCTCCATTTGTCTTGATTTGATTCTAACTTCCCCAGATCACTCCTTTTCATCACTTCTAAGAGTTGAGGTGCTCCACTTGAATTGTGGATGCAGACACAGTGATACACAGGTCTTTGTGGGAAGTGATGTCAGCCACGCTGACTGGTTTGTACTCGATKTCGCCGGCAGACACTGTCTTATAATGCTGCAAGTCAAAGTGACAGGGCATGGTTTCTGTTTGTGGGTAGCTGCTCTGGCTCTGTCCATGCTGGCCTCCTCTTGCCGCTCCGCTCCCAGCTCGGCCGGATCCTCCGTCTGCACTCGCTACCCGGCTCTGAGCTCCAGCCCGGCCCTGGGCCTGGCTCTGGTTTGGATTTGTTGCCACGACTGCAGGTGCAGTCAACTGGTCTGGGTTGTGTTTCTCCATGTGTTTCACCAGATATGTCTCCTGAGATGAGGGGAGGATAGGTAGAGGGGAAACAGTGGATACATGACTACACGGTGTTAAGTAGCTGCAAGGCGTCTGATGCCAAAGCTGCGTTTCATAGTGTTTCATGTAGAAATGCTCTTCAGAAATGGACATTTGTCTTACTGAGGTATAAGAGCGGCTGCAAAGACCACACGAGTACATCTTGGCGTGTTTCACTGTGTGTGTGGACATGTGCACCTCCAGACTTGCTGCATCTATGTATCCTTTATTGCAGTTGGGGCACTTGTAGGGTTTGTCTTTGTTGTGTTGACGACGGTGGGACTGAGAGAAAACCATTTTTGGAATTTAAAAAAAAAAAGTTTAAAAAGTGACACAGTAGGAACATTTATATATATTTACATAAAAGAAAAATAAATCTTTTTCACCTGTAAATTTGAGAGTTGTGTGAAGGCTTTCTCACATCCTGGATGGCTGCACCTGTACGGCCGATCTCCTGTGTGAATTCTGGATCAAAAGAAACACACAAACACACACACACGTGTACAGGCGTAGACTCCTGTGACATTCATGGAGCTCTAACCCGACCGCAGAAAAGCACAGACAGTGGAGAAACCTAAGACCCACACAGGACTCACCTGCTGTGCTGCTGAAGGTGACTGAGCTGTCTGAAGCACTTGTCACAGTACGCGCAGGTGTACGGTTTCACTCCGGTGTGGATGCGGATATGTTGAGCCAAATAACTGGAGTTGGCAAATGATTTCGTACAATGAGGGCACTTGTGAGGCTTTGACTCGGTGTGGCTTCTGATGGAGGCAGAAAAGAGACAGAAAAATGAAAATAAAAACATTAAACCGAAGAAATAAAAAAATGAACAGATTTTATTGGCCTATCCAAAACATTTAGAAACAAAACATACAAGAAAAACAATTAAATGATAGAGAAATGCAAAATTTGCAACATTTATAATTAAAAAATTCATAAAATAGTAACATCAAAAAATTGAAGGTTTTAGCTACAGTTTTGTTTCTTTTAGCTTTAGATTTTGGCTTYCAACTATATTATTTCTGATGTGATTTTCTCATGAACTTGACTTGATTATTCTATTATAAAGACTACTGACAATGGTTTAATATCATCTTAAGAAAWCAAGCTTGTTTCCTAAAAGCCTGCAGTTAATCTAGAAACTGTCTTTAACAGGTACCAGAGGGCATAGTACTCCTAGTACTAGCTCAGCCGAGGGATAAACTAAAGTGTGGAGAGCTCGGGCTTTTGCTCGTGATTCAAAATGCAGAGTCGGTTTAGGTCTTTTAAATCCTGCCTGAAAACTCACTGTTTTTAAACTGGCCTTTAATTCAAGTTCAAGTGAGATTCATCAGAAGTTTGGAGTTGTGTCTTTTATCTGTTTTTAGCCTTTTTTTATTTTAGTCATGGTTTTAATGCTATTCTATGTTGTTCCTCCTTGTGAAGCACTTTGGTCAACACTCTTGTTTTTAAATGTGCTATTTATACATAAACTGATGATTGACTGATAGAAAAAAATAATTTGAAAATATCTAAAAATAGTTGCTTGGTTTTCTTGTGATGGCAAGATGGTTAATTATTATTATGGTTCTTTTGTTTCTCCCAGTCTCAAATTTCAATATTTTTGTTGTTTTGACACTGAAATAGATCTGAAACAGTCATGATGAATGTTATTTTGATGAGTTTTCATCTTGAATCGGTTTTCAGCATGACTGTGTCCTGATTTCTGTTCAAGAAGCACTGTTTTTGTTTAAATA